TTTTCTGTAATAAGAACACCTGTCTGTAAATTGAAGAATTTCACCAGGAGGTAGAAAACTCCATTGTTGCAGAAGGAGGGAGAGTTTGTTGTAGAGAGGGAGAAAGAGAAACTAATTTTTATAAAAGTGAATTAATTAACCAACAAAGAGTTGGTTTATATACATGTCTTTACACGTGTAAAAGAAAAAACGCTATTTACGAAACTAACAACAAAAAACGCTAATAGCATATAACACTTTTATCTGTGTTATAGCAAAAATAAAACTGGAAATATAAATAATCCAACATCCCCCCTCAAGATGGAACTGGAGAATAAATGTTCTTCAAGGCCATCTTGGACAACAAGTGAGAAAAAAGGGGAAATGGCAGTGCTTTGGTAAAAATATCAGCAATTTGATCGCGAGTAGGCACGGGCATAAGTCTGACAATACCACGAGTAACTTGTTTCCGGATAAAGTGGCAGTCGATCTCAATGTGTTTCGTGCGTTCGTGAAAAGTTGGATTGGAGGCAATATGAACAGCAGCTAAATTGTCACAGAAGACCAAGTTGGAATCAACTGAAATCTGAAAATCTTGAAGAATTTATTGATCCAAACCAATTCACTGGACAAGGATGCTAAGGCTCGATATTCAGATTCAGTTGAGGATCTGGAGACGGTGGATTGTTTCTTGGCTTTCCAAGAAACCAGAGAATCACCCAAAAAAACACAAAATCCTGAAGTGGATTTTCTTGTATCTGTACAGCTGCCCCAATCAGCATCAGAGAATGCTTTGACCTTGGTGGAAGGATCAGAAGAATAGAAAAGGCCCTGCCCAGGAGCAGCTTTGAGGTATCTGAGCAAATGATGAGCAGCTTGAAGATGAGTGGACCTTGGTTTGGACACAAATTGGCTTAACTTGTGAGTGGCAAAAGCAATGTCTGGTCTGGTAATGGTCAAGTAGAGAAATTTTCCAATGAGCCTTCTATAACTTGTAGAGTCTGGAAGAAGATCACCATCATCTTGATTAAGAGCTGCCTTAGGATCCATGGGAAGAAGCACTGGTTTGGAACCTAAAAAACCTGTTTTTTCAAGCAACTTTAGTGTGTATTGTCTTTGAGAAACAATAATACCAGAAGTGTTCCTAGCAATTTCCAAGCCAAGAAAATATTTCATCTTACCAAGATCTTTAAGTTTGAAAACCATATGAAGTTGTGCTTTAAAAGACTCAATCTCAGCAGAATTAGGGCCAGCAATGATTATATCATCAACATATAAAATAAGAGCTAAGAAAGAAGTACCAGAACCTCGAGTGAAGAGAGAATAATCAGACTGAGACTGAGTGAAACCAAGAGCAGTGATAGCATCTGTAAATTTCTGATTCCATTGTCTGGAAGCTTGCTTGAGGCCATACAAAGACTTTTGTAACCGACATACTAATTTAGTGCCAGAAGTGTGAGGAATTTTGGATTCATAACCTTGAGGCAGATCCATATAGACTTCCTCATGTAAATCTCCATTGAGAAAAGCATTGTTAACATCTAACTGGTGGAGCTCCCACTGAAACTTGGCAGCTAAAGCTAAAAGAATCTTGACAGAAACAAGTTTAGCAACAGGTGAAAAAGTCTCAGTGTAATCTACCCCCTCTTGTTGTGTAAAACCCCTTGCAACTAAACGAGCCTTGTACCTATCAATAGTGCCATCTTGCTTTCTTTTCAATTTGTACACCCATTTACAACTAATGGAATGTTTATCAGAGGGCAAAGAAACCACTTGCCAAGTATTATTGGCTTTAAGAGCCTGAATTTCCTCAGACATGGCCTGAATCCAAGAAGGATTCTGAATGGCATGCTTGTAGGAGGAAGGTTCTATGTCAGCAGAGATGTTGGAAGTATATGCAAAGAAAGAATCAGAAAGATTTGAATAACCAAGAACATTAGAAATTGGATATTTGGAAGTAGAAGGAAGCTTGGAGTTGACTTGAAAATCAGAAAGATATGCAGGCATTTTTATATGCCTGGAAGACTTTCTAACAAGAGGTGGTGAAGAAACAGAAACTGGAAGAGAAGAGGGAACAGTAGTAGGAGGATATGACTCATAAGACACAGAGGTAGAAGAATGATCAAAAGAAGGCAAAACAAACTCATCATTGTCTAAATGAAACTGAGTGGAAGCAAAAGGAAAAATATCTTCATGAAAAATAACATCTCTGGAAATGAAAACCTCTTGAGAGTGTATATCTAACAACTTATAACCTTTAATACCTGGGGGATAACCAAGAAAAATGCAAAGCCTTGCTCTGGAATCAAACTTTGTCCTACCAGCTAAAGTCCCTGCAAAAGCTAAACAACCAAACACTTTGAAAGTATCATAGTTCACAGAAGTGGTGGGATATAGCATAGAAAAAGGAGTACAATTACTGAGGTTATGGGCTGGAACTCTATTGATTAGAAACACAGCTGTCAAAACACACTCAGACCAAAATTTAATGGGCACCTTGGATTGAAAAAACAATGCTCGGGCAACATTTAAAATGTGTTGGTGTTTCCTTTCTACCACTGAATTTTGTTTAGGTGTTTGAACACAAGAAAATTGGTGTAAAACCCCATGTTGAGCAAAAAAATATTTAAAAGACAATTCATTAGCATTATCAGACCTGAAAACCTTAATAGTTTTGCCAAACTGAGTTTGAACCCAACCAAAAAATTGAGGAATAATAGCAAGAACATCAGACTTGTTTCTCAATAAATGAATCCAGGTGAATTTGGAAAAATCATCCACAATAGTCACAAAGTATTTAAAACCATCATAAGAAGCCACTTTATAAGGTCCCCATATATCACAATGTATCAAATCAAAAGGTGCAATGGACTGAGAAGAACTTACAGGGAATGGCAACCTTTTAAACTTGGCCAAAAGAACAAACATGGCAACATGTAGAATCCAATACAGTAGGCAATGAAATACAGTCTTTCAAAATAGCTAGTTTGGAAAAAGGAAGATGACCAAGCCTATTATGCCAGGTCTGAGAAGAAACTGAGACTTTATTACAAGAAATTTGAGTAGATGAACAAGAAGCAGACAAAACAGGCTCCAAGACATATAAGCCTTGCAATCTTTTACCCATACCAATCATTTGCATCAGCTTGTCCTGAATCACAAATGATTGAAACCCAAAAGTGACAAACTCATGAGGTTTAAATAAAAGAGCACTAACAGAAAGCAAATTGAATTGAAACTCAGGGACATAAAAAACATTATGCAAGAAAAGTGAAGGAGCTAACTGAACATCACCTACAAAAGCCACATGCAAAGATGACTTATCCGGCAGAATAACCTTAGTATTATGAGCAGGAATAAGATGCAAAAACAGAGACCTATTATTGCATATGTGCTTAGATGCACCTGAATCAACAACCCAATGAAAAGGCATAAGCATGGGATTCATGATGGCATTAGCATAAATGGTACCTGTGACACAGGAGATGTGAGAGTCATCATGTGCTGGGAAACATAAGCTAAAATCTGCTGACATTGAGCTGCTGTCATGGCTGATTGCTCCAGAGAAGATGATGCTTCACCCTGAACATCAAGAGGAGAATTAGAAGTGGAAATTTGATTAATGCCAAATCTACCTGAAGGAGCAGCCAATCTTGGCCGAGGCTTGAAACCAGAGGATTGATATCCAGGTGGAAAACCATGAATCTTGTAGCACTTCTCCATTGTGTGACCATACTTATTACAGTGAGTGCAAAAACCTCTGCCATGCTTTTGATCACCAGCATGATAATACTGATTGTTCTGATGAGGAACTGGAGCAGAAGGTCTGGAAAATTGTGAAACCGGAGCACCTCTTACAGCAAAGGTGAGAGAATTATGCCCGTCAATATTCTGCCCAACAGATCTATGTCGCTCTTCTTGAGAAACTAGTGCAAAAACTTTGTTAATGTGTGGAAGAGGATCCATAAGAAGAATCTGACCTCGAGTCTGAGAGAATGACTCATTTAGCCCCATAAGAAAAGCCATAACCTGCTCTTGATTATAGTAATCAACCAACAAACCACAAGTACAATTTGGGCGAAAATTGACCAATTCATCCCAAATTGCCTTCATCTTCGTAAAATAAACATTGACAGAGAACTATTATTGCCTGAGATTGGCCAATTCACGACGTAATTGAAAGATTCTGGGGCCATTTGTTTGGGAAAACCGCACATTCAAATCATTCCAAATTTCACGAGCAGTTTTAGAATACATCACACTAGCTTGAATTTCCTTAGAAATAGCATTTAAAATCCATAACATAACCATACCATTGTTGCGAACCCAGGCGTTATGAAGAACAGGATCATCCTCAGGGGGTCAACAATAGATCCATCCACAAAACCTAGCTTGTTCTTCACAGTAAGAGATAAAATCATCGCACGACTCCAAGAGGCAAAGTTATCTTCAGAGAGAGCTTGCGAAACAAGAACGAGACCAGGTCCATCAGAAGGATGTAAAAAATACGAACTCGAAACATCGTCGATTTGGGCGCGAGTTGTACGATTCGCCATTAGAACGAAATTGCGGAAAATTAACAGGAATTGAGAACGAGAACGAACAGAATAGAACGGAAGCGAAGAAGAATCGAAAAAATCTCAAACTGATACCATGTTAAATTGAAGAATTTCACAAGGAGGTAGAAAACTCCATTGTTGCAGGAGGGAGAGTTTGTTGCAGAGAGGGATAAAGAGAAACTAATTTTTATAAAAGTGAATTAATTAACCAACGGTAACAAAGAGTTGGTTTATATACGTGTCTTTACACGTGTAAAAGAAAAAACGTTATTTACTAAACTAACAACAAAAAACGCTAATAGCATATAACACTTTTATCTGTGTTATAGCAAAAATAAAACTGGAAATATAAATAATCCAACACCTGCCCACTAGCCGATAATCAATATTTTACAGCTGAAAATAAAGATTTGATTAAAAGGGTCGGCCGAGGACTGCTCGGTTTCGCCGCCGCCGTGTCGTTGCTCTGTGATTCGCTGTTAGCTTTCAGATCGTAAAACTAGAATTGCATTGAAGGTGTGATTTACAATTGAAAAATTACAGGATTTAACCCCCAAAATATCTAACGTGAGCTACATGAATGCAGCTCCAGTCCTATTTATAGACTTTCAGCTGAATCTAACAACTAACGGCCGCGCCACGTGTCGTTCTCGGATTGGTGAGTTTAAACAGCCCTAGCCTCCAAAAGCGCGTTTCTTTCCTCAGCGTTTCTTTAAGTGAGTATCCGTTTTCCTCCCTACGGCGTCGTTTTGCTCTCTCTTCCTCATGCACGTAACATTCGCCGGCGTTTGCTGAATCACTGACAGTAGCTTTTCCTGTTTCTCACAACCGTGAGGTAATATTTAAAAAAAATAAGTTATTTATTTATTTATTTCATATTAATAAATATTATTTTAATCAGATTATTAACTTTGTTTTGAAACAGGTGAATACTGTACAAAGAACACTTGTGGAGACATGCGGTTTGATTAGAGAAACCTTTGTGGGATCCAACTTTCAATCATCAGGGTAAGAAAGACCAAAATGCCCCTCGTCGAACTTCTTTAGTTTGATTAGTTTTTCGAGTGTTGAAAATGAATGTAGTTGTGTTCTTGAATCAACAGTTGACAACATTAGGATGAGAGCTTCGTGTTTGTCGTTTATCGGTTTTATCCTTGTCCGAATCAATGAACTAATAATTCCAAGGGGACTTATGTTTTACAGATTAGGACTTAAAATTACAACAAACGATGGTCGAAATGTTTCCACTTAGATCAGAAGGTGCTGCGTATAATAAAATTAAAGGGATGCTTTCGACTGTTGGAGATCCTTTTACGCGCATAATCAGTCCTAAGGTTTTTTTTTTCGTGTCTTAATTAATTAGTTAATTCAACTTTTACTTATGATCCATTTTTCGAACATTAATGGGCTGTAAATATATATATTTATTACATGCAGGAATATCGAAGTTTTAGAATAGAAAGCGACGGAAATTTGCAAGGTGTCGGCTTATTTATCAACGTTGAACCGCAGACCGGACACATGGTGGGTTGACTTTACGTATTTCCGTACTTTTTTTTTATAATATCGAATATTGATTTGCTTTATTTTTTTGGTTAATTATGCAGTTTTTTTTTTCCAATATTGGCATGTAATTCTCGATTTTACGTTATTTCAGGTTTTTTTATTGTGCATAGAGAATAGCCCAGCTGAGCGAGCTGGTATACGCGAAGGAGATGAGCTAATGGAAATAAACGGTAATTTACATTAGTACTCAATAAACTAGAAAAATAGTTTATTGATGAATAGTTTTAATAAAAAATAGCTAACAAAATTTCTAATAATCGGGTTGATGATTTTTATTTTTTTTTGGTGCACAATAGGTGCAAGACTCGCCGGAGTGGCAAGTGAAGCAGCTGCACAAAAGCTCAGGGGACATGTCGGAACAACTGTTACAGTAAAAGTTCACACTGTAAGAACACTTCACTTGCATTTAAAAAATAAATACTGTTTTTCGATTAATTTTTTTTTAAATATAATTGTAAATGTCGATTGTGAAAGCTGGTTAATTAATTTTGAACTCCATTGGTACATTTATGTTTATCGAGGTTGATGACTTCGGGAGTTCTTATATCAGAGAGGTTAATATACCCCGTGAGGTAATCAAACTTTCGCCGATATCGAGTGCTATAATTCCTCACAAATTGCCAGACGGACATTTATCGAAGACGGGATATGTGAAATTAGCAACTTTTTCTCAGGTATTTCATTTTCTCGAGCATTTTTTCAACTCATGAAAATCGATAGAAATTAGCCGTATTATTGACGAATGAGGGTAAAAAGGTAATTTCGATCGTGTTATATAGACCGCAGCATTGGAGATGGAGAATACGGTTCATGAGATGGAGAGTCAAGGTGTTCAATCGTACATATTGGATCTTAGAAACAATCCGGTGAGTCTGTTCTTCTCGTTGTTTGAGCCGTAATTTTTTTTTCTCTTATTTTACTTTTATTTAGAAATGCTAATTCCGCCCCATTGCTATGTCAAGGGCGGTTTGGTAAAAGCAGGATTCGATGTCGCTCAGATTTGGCTCGACGGAACCGAGACTTTAGTCAACACTATCGATACAGACGGGAATATGTTACCAATAGACATGATCGATGGTCATGCTTTAACACGCGATCCACTTGTTGTCCTTGTATGTTTGATTTCTACCTCCGGCCTTAACCTCACTCCATATATTATTGTTCGGGGTGATACACGGGGAAGAAGAAATAGGCCGCTGTTTTTCTCTTCGGTTTGCAAGATGAAATAGGCCCCCGTTTCAAGTAAGGACTATTTCAAATGGTTATTTTGATTTTTGAGTAGATATCTTTTTGTTTGCAGATCTTTTACCGTTTGTGAGAAAAAATTCCTTGGTCCGTTTCCTGAACTAAAAAAACATAATTGGTTTTCCGTAGTTGAGTAATTTGAAATTGCTCTTGTATCCTGAACTCAAATGAACTTTTTCCTTATTGCAATGCTAATGAAATATTAAAATTAGCAACCTAAACTCGCAAATTAGTTAGTAATGCTTTGATATTTGTATCTTCGAATTAGGTGCTTCTAATGTCTGTAATATGGAAAACACCCAAATGGGAATGGTCTTGTCAGCATTTTCTTTAAATGGAAAGTTACATTGCATTGAATAGTTTTGTAGTTGTCGCCCCGTCTAGATGCGTATGAGTTTTACTTTCATTTTCTCAGTGTAATTCGTGCAATCGCCTAATTGATACATGTTTACTGGCTATTTGTGGTTTATAGCTGAAGTTTAATTGTTTGTGTTTATCTTTTCAGTAGTCGTAAGCTGCTGCTTCAAATTTGCTTTTTTTTTTAGTTCTTTGGTATTTTGATTGAAATTGTCGACTGCTTTACAATTAACCCTTGAATGGTTCTAATATTAAAATTGTGTTTTCCAATGAAACAGAGAGACATCGTATACACGGGACACACTCTCAAAACTTCATCGTTAGCTATGAGCCGCATGCTGATGAAGAACAAGTAAAGTTTATTCTATAGGTATGGAGATGTACTTCTTCATTTCTCATTTAACCTATTTCCTCAGTGTTTTGTTATTTATTTGGTTTCAGAAAAGTGGTATTGCATACATGTATTTTCTATTTCATTTCACAATTTATAGAACCTTTTTGTTGAGACCCATTTCTTTTCCATTTTTTTGGCCCATTTAATGCCAAAACTGTGTCGTTCCAATCTTCCGGTCCAATCAGACTTTCCAAATCTTTTCTTTTCCTTTTAATTTTGAAGCAGCTCGACGACGACACGCCTGCTTGGTTTTCCCTTTTCTTCTATTCCGCGCGCGGCAGAACGATGCCGTTTGGCCAACAATTGTTGACTTCTGCCGCCGCCTCGTTCGATGCCCGCCGTCGCCGCTTCGTTCGAGGCCCGCCGTCGCCGCTTCATTCGATGCCCGCCGTCCTTGCCGCCAACGTCACTTCCCACCGCATTTTTCCTCCAATGGCAGGCGTCTCCACTTTCGATCACACCCGAAATTAGATTATCAATATATCATATCAAAGAGTCACCCCTCCGCAGATTTCTTCTTCGATTCTCTCCTCCGTTGTCGTTCCACCATGACTCATATCCTTCAGTAACTATTTTCTTTAACTTTTTTTTTGTTGATGCATAATTAGTATGAATATTTTCATTTTTCAGATCTTTGATTTTTTCTTTATTATATTTATATATATAAGAAATATTAATTGAAAACCCATGTTTTGATTTTCCCTTTTCTTTCTGAAATTAATTTCTTCTCGTTGAACTCAATTGAATTTAGTGCGTGTGTGTGTGTGTGTTTTCTGGCTCTGTTGTGTGTATATGTCTTGTATGTATTTCTTAACCGGAATAAACATGGAAGTCAAAGAGACCGTCACAAAGAAAGGGCTAATGCTCGCACCACCGGCAAAGGAAAGGGTAAAGATGATGGCTTCACCCCTGAACAGCGCCGTGAAAGGCAACGGTCGTTTTCTTTTTAATTTTTGAACTTTTCTTTTAATTTTTTTCTCTGGTTCAATATTTTTCAAGATTCAGTTTTTATTGATATTCTTTGTTGTCCCAGTGATCTGGATTTACTTAGTTGCTTTAGGCCTCGTTTGGTTGGGGAGATTAGCCATTATTAACTAAATAATTGGACTTTGTTTGCCGTTTGGTATTCCTAATAATTTGTCGGGTCGACCCGTAGATGTTATGTTGTCGTATCTTATCTTGCCTTTTTTATTTGACGTGCCTGGAACTGGTGAAGTGATTGTGTTTTCATTAGAGTATTTAATCTAATCTTGGCTAATCTTATTTTTCCAACCAAACGAGGCCTTAATTTTCATAAGTAATTTAAGATAATCAATCAAGAAAGGCTGAGGGCTGCATAAATTCTTGGGAACATTGGAAAAATAGAAAATTCCAAACTAGATAAATTTTCATTGATTAATTTATATCTGCAAATCTACATTACTTATAATCGTCGAACAAATTCGGTAGCGGAAGATAGTTCTAAAGCACGTAAATTGGGCCCATTAATGAAGAGCTAGAGCTTGATCCATACAACCTAATAGAACATAAAGCACATGAAAGGAGTGGACCCGACCGCCCGGAAGCTCGGGGTAGCGATGGAGAAAGAGGATCATCGAGAGAAGCCGAGGAGGTTGCGACACCCGGAAGCCCCTCCGAGCGCAGTATAGGTCAAAATGGCGTTGACAGACCCCTTCTCTCGCAATTAGTGGCGCTTTTAATGCTCTGACAAATGCATTTAATGCGTTGACCGTGGTATTTAATGCTCGAATGACCCGTTGCGGCTCAAAGACTGGGGGAGCGAGGGTGTAGCTCTCTATCACGCCTACGAAAGGGAGGTCTGCCTACGAAGAAAGAATCATCATGATCCAAGCCACCCCGGAAAAGTTGGCGAAGGACGTCGAAAGACAGCAGAAGGACCCCCCGATCGAGATTCATGGACCCTTAGGGAGCGAGCAGAGGAATACTATAAAAAAGAGCATATATCCACAAAACAACGACAGGATAAGATTATTCACTCACTTAATAAAATATTCAATATAGAAGATTCACTTCAAGAATCATAATTCATCCATTACTGACTTGAATGCCCACCGCTTCTACCGCCACTGTCACTTCCACCGCATTTTTCCTCCAATTGCAGACTTCTGCCCTCTTCGATCACATCTGGGCTTAGATAGCGCATGAATTATCGACTCATAATTTTGGGACCGCCTTTTCTCCAATTCTCCCAATTGCTTTGCTATTGATTCAATTTTCTTCTTCCTCATGTTCTTCTCGTCTGCCTCATGTATATGTAGCATTGTAGACTTGTAGTTAGGTCGGCCTTTCTTTGATTATTGTTTGCACCTCTCAAATTCACCTCTCCTTTGACCAATTGTTTTTTCTCCCTTTTTATTTTCAGATTTTGATTTATGTCCTTATTATTTTTATTCTCAGCCCATGGCTGTAATTTTCATCACAACATCATATATAATACATACACAATTCTGTTTTCGTTTATTTTTTTCCCTCTTAAAGAAAGGGAATTTATACATACGGTTTATATGGCGGAATCGGTGGAGCTACCGGGTCAGACTCGCAATTCTTCCCTTCCGGAACAAAGTATTGTTACCTGCTGCAATTATTCGTATTCGATGCACTCCGCCCAGCAGGTACTACAATTTTCATTTCAATTTTCTTGTTGCCGGCTAAATTTGTTGTTGTTATCTAAAACTTACTATATGTTATTGGGTTTATGCTACCTTTAGTATTTGAAACGAGAATTACTTATGTTCTTGTGAATGGTTTTGCTGCTAGTGTGAAGTTGGTTGAATAAGAGCTATGGCAGAGGGAAGAGAAAGGAATAATTGGCATTCTCCCAGTTCGTGATGCTGCTGTGGAGGCTCCATCTGCTGGCTCCACGTCATCTGCAGGTAATCAATCCACGCGTGCTCAGAGACTGACCGTGTTTTTCATTTTCAAAAGAAAAAAAACATTGTGTAGGCATTGTTTGATTGAGGGAGTCATTGTTCGACCTCGTATATCATAGAATTTTGGTATGCTAATTGATCAGGTTTGAAAATAAATAAGTCTTGACGTGAGCAAGAGACATGAAAAAGATCATGAGACATGTTTAGTATTAGTAGTAACAGTGTGAGGATTATCAAAATATTATCTGATGAGTTGTTTTGTAACTTCAACATGTAACATAGGTAACACAAATAATGATATTGTTGATGTATGAACAAAGATATTTCATGCAAGTGAAATAGCAAAACTGGTAGAGGACATGCCAGAATATTTAAAGCAAAACTGGTATAGATTCGTACATGAAGCAGCTTCCTCGTCATGGTTGTTCCTCAAGATCAAAATATGTAGTAACAGACTGCTGCTATTATTGGTGTCCAACAAAAAAAGGTTGAAGACCGGAGTGAACGCCAATTCACTTATACATCAACACGATCAAGTAATCTAAAAATCTCCTGGTAAACAATATTTTTGGTGTAATCAACTGTACGGTTATATCTGGAATTAGGATGACGGCCCGAGGTTTTGTGGTGAAAAATGGAGCAGCGGTGAGACGACATCCACCAAAGCAAGACGTGGAGGGCCAGAAGGAGGTCAACAATAGTAGGCGAGGAAAGAAGGTCAAGTGGGAGGGGTATTCTAAACGACGTCGTTTCATGGCAAACAGAATAAAAATAAAACGAAAAGAAAGAAGCATGACACGGTCGAGCTGCTGCAGAAATAAAGTGAAAAGAAAAAAAAGGAAGAAGATGATTGGAACGAAACAACGGGACGACGGCGTTTCTTATTAAAATAGGGCACAAGAAAAGGAAAAAGAATATGCATAAAAAAAGGGGACGATCCCTATAGGAGAAATGAATTGGAGAAGAGAGATTGGTCTCTCACGTATATTATCACATATATAGTT